CTTATAAACCAGTTCAGGCTCTAAGATCAGCTGGGGAGGCCCTCCTCTCGATTCCACCTTCCTCACAAGTAAGGTTGGTAGGGATGAGGAAGAGGTAATCACCCCCCTCCGCGACTCTGAAATGCCCTCCCCAGGGAAATTAGACAAGCACCCAACCTCTTAACATTCAGGATGGAGTTGAAAACATGGCTATTTAAGCAGGCTTTTGATAAGGGCTAAAAGTATCAACCTCTTTATCGGACAGGACTTTAAATGGTTATGTATAATGTATAATGCTGGATACCCTGATCATAGGAATTGGCTGGTTTAAAATGATGTTGATCTATATACTTGTGCGCCAGCTGCGCCCGTACCTTGGGAAGTCTGACTTGGCCATGGTAGTCCACAATAGGTTTGTGTTGAGACTCAGCGTTTGTCTCATGCACCTACTACTAGTAGTAGAAGGAAACGTGGTTTAGAGGATGAAGAAGCTCAGCAACAGCTGAAACGGATTAGAGACTTGTTCTTAGAGACTACGGATGAGGAGGATTTTGAGGGTTTTACTCGCGAGGAAATGGAGCTGGAAGATTACAGAGGTGTAAAGAGAGTAGCCAGCAGCTCGAATAGCGATGTGGGATCTGTTGCTAAACGCCTTAGAGATATAGCTGATTGTGGGGAGTTTGACAGCGAAGAGGAAGAGCTGGACTGGACTAAAGTTCAGGAAGTAATGGATGTGATTACTGCTCCCACCTCTAGTGATGAATTCCAGGGTTTTGATGATACTTGGGTTGCAGATAATACTTTGCAGGATGGAGCCCGAAGTACTGACTGGCAACAATGGCGCAGCCGGGATTCACCTGTGGAATTAGACGCAGCTGAAAGTGACTCCAGCGACTCTGACGAGATTTAAGGAGCAGTTTGGGGACAAACTGATCGCAGAGTTCAAAGTGTCGCGTTACCGTGTGTCTTGTGTTTAACTCCTGCCGTGAGCTCTTGTTTGCAGCTTCGTGTTTCCTGATCGTGTGAACAACCCTGCCGGAACCAGACTCGTGAGTCTTCCTTGCCTTGACCCTCGGACTGCCTGACTACGCCTCTGCTAATCCCTGGAACCTTCGTTGGACCGCTCTTCATGCGGATTGCTGTTTGCTGTTTTGTTTGCCTTTGAAACGAACTGAGTTTTACTGCTGAATCCAAGCTGCCTGCTTCTGTTTAGACTTGCTTTCCTTTTGCCAGCAAAGACTGACTGAGACCAGTTTGTTTACATTCCTGCTGACCGCAAGCCTTTTGTGTTTACAACTCTGACTTTAAGAGCCTCCTTTTGTTTTGTTAATAGACATTAAAGACCTTCATTTAACTCTTACAGTGCCGTTTGCTTTGCTGGTCTGCCTGGGTCTTGACAATCTTGTATAGACTACAGCAACACACTCTACATGGGGTTGCCTTCGAAGACTGTCCGGAAGTTTCAAATGGTCCAATGGACGGCAGCCAGATTGCTAACAGGAGCAGTCCACAGGGAACACACAACTCCCCTGCTGAGCCAGCTCCACTGGCTGCCAGTGTGCTATCGAGCACAATTCAAAGTGCTGGCTTTAGCCTATAAAGCCCTAAACGGTACTGGCCCAACTTACCTGTCCGAACACATCTCCCCTTATGAATCCGCTAGGGCTTTAAGATTGTCACAAGTATGTCTGGCAGGGATGAGAGACAGGGCCTTCTCAGTGGTGGCCCCTTGGCTATGGAATGCCCTCCCTTCCCTTTTAACATTTCGAAAGAAGTTGAAGACTTGGCTGTTTGAGCAAGCGTTTGCAGACACAATATAACAGACATGGAGGAAAAAAAACAGACCGACTCGACAATGCTATTAGATAACGCTTTTAAGTAAGAGACTCAAATTGATATGTTTTTATTGATATTGTTTTACTTGGTTTTAAACTTAAACGAACCGTTTTAAATTGTATCTTATGTCTTTGATACTGACTGTAAACCACCCTGAGTCGCCTGTGGGCTGAGAGGGGCAGTATATAAATGTAGTAAATAAATAAATATACATACTAGCTTGGGGACATTATTGCACTATATTGATACGTGATTTTTGTCTGTGTTATATCATTTACTGTGTTTGTTTGTTTTTGCTGTAAGTCGCCCAGAGCCCCTTCGGGGAGATGAGACAGGCGCGATTGGTGGGGACGAGAGGGCCTTCTGGGTAGTGCCCCCCCGACTCTGGAACTCACTTCCCAAGGACATCAGGCATGCCCCAACTCTGGCAGTCTTTAGGAGGAGCCTGAAAACATGGCTGTTCCAGTGTGCCTTCCCAAAATAAGGAAAATTCTCAGCAATATGCCCTCAGAATGCACTTTACTACTGGTTTGGGATTGACTGCGTTCCCTCATCTCTCTTTGAAAACCCTATACGAGTTATATCCTACCTTGTTCATGCCCAGCATTTATTTTTTAATTTTTAAACCATTACATTTGGCCCGGCCATAGGTTTTTAAATCCTTGTGTGTTACTATTTATTGGTTATTGTTTATATGTGATATATTAATTGTATGGTATTTATTGTTTTATTGCTCTTGTTATTGATGTACTGTTGGGCTTGGCCTCATGTAAGCCGTTCCGAGTCCCTTGGGGAGATGATGGCGGGGTATAAATAAAGATTATTATTATTATTATTATTATTATTATGGGACAGGATATAAATAAAGTTTGATATTATTGTTACTTTATGTTTTATTGTTGATATATGGTATGTGTTATATCATTTACTGTGTTTGTTTGTTTTTGCTGTAAGTTGCCCAGAGCCCCTTCGGGGAGATGGGACAGGATATAAAGAAAGTTTGATATTATTGTTACTTTATGTTTTATTGTTGATATTGTGTGTTTTATATGCTGTCAACCGCTTTGGGTCATGCCGTGGAGAAAGACGGGGCAGAAATATCTTAAAATAAATTAATAAATATTAATATTGCGGTGTGAAGCAATCATGGGTAAACTTGATATGTGATTTTGTCTGTGTTATATAATTTACCCTAATCCACCTAAAACACAGACATGCGCCTTTCACCTTAAGAACAGACAAGCATCCCGAGCTCTGGGGATTACCTGGGAAGGAATCCCACTGGAGCATTGCAGCAAACCCAAATACCTGGGAGTCACTTTGGACCATGCTCTGACCTACAAGAAGCACTGCCTGAACATCAAGCAAAAAGTGGGCGCTAGAAACAACATCATACGAAAGCTGATTGGCACAACCTGGGGATCACAACCAGATACAAATACCTTTCGGACCGCATCTCGGCCTATGAGCCCACGAGGACCTTGAGATCATCTGGGGAGGCCCTTCTCTCGATCCCGCCTGCTTCACAGGCACGTCTGGCGGGGACGAGAGAAAGGGCCTTCTCGGTGGTGGCCCCCCGGCTGTGGAACGACCTCCCTGCTGACATCAGACAGGCGCCCTCCCTTCTGTCCTTCCGTAAGAGCCTGAAGACCTGGCTATTTGAGAAGGCATTCAACTGAGCGCTACGGCAACTGGTAATTGACAACTGGAACGGAATACGGATTACGATATTGGTTATGATTCTATGATGTGACGGAGCGGATTATTTAGTGTAACCAGATTATAGTGTATTATTGTTGTATTGATTCCCTGTTTTGCCCTTTTTGTAAACTGTTTTTATATGTTGTGCACCGCCGCGAGTCGCCCTAGGGCTGAGAGCGGCGGTCAATAAATGCAGTAAATAAATAAATAAATAAATATCACAACCAGACACAGTGAAGACATCTGCCCTTGCGCTATGCTACTCTGCTGCTGAGTACGCTTGCCCAGTGTGGAGCAGTAGATGTGGCTCTTAATGAGACATGTCGCATTATCACAGGGTGTCTGCGCCCCACACCAATGGAGAAATTACACTGCTTAGCCGGTATTGCACCACCTGACATCCGCCGGGAAGTAGCAGCCAATAGTGAAAGGACCAAGGCAGAGACATCTCCAGCTCATCCCCTGTTTGGGTATCAGCCAGCACGTCAACGACTTAAATCAAGACATAGTTTTCTTAGATCTACAGAGACACTCGCTGGAACATCTCAGCAAGCGAGAGTCCAAAAGTGGCAGGCCCAAACCCAGCACCTCAATCCATGGGTGATACCAGATGAGAGCCTCCCCCCTGGGCACACAGAAGACTGGGCGACTTGGAAGGCACTGAACAGACTGCGCTCTGGCACCACGAGATGCAGAGCCAATCTTAAGAAATGGGGCTACAAAGTGGAATCCACGACATGCGAGTGTGGAGAAGAACAAACCACTGACCACCTGCTGCAATGCACCCTGAGCCCTGCCACATGCACAATGGAGGACCTCCTTGCAGCAACACCAGAGGCACTCCAAGTGGCCAGATACTGGTCAAAGGACATTTAATCAACTACCAAGTTTGCAAAATCTGTGTTTTTTTTAAATCTGTTTGTTTGTTTCGTTCTGTTAGAAATGTAATACAATGGTATGGTTGCTGATGACACGATAAATTTACTGTGTGTTTGTTTGTTTTTGCTGTAAGTCGCCCAGAGCCCCAGATGGGACAGGAAATAAAGAGTTTGATATTATTGTTACTTTATGCTTTATTGTTGATATTGTGCGTTTTCTATGCTGTCAACCGCTGTGGGTCATGCCGTGGAGAAAGGCGGGGTAGAAATATCTTAAAATAAATTAATAAATATTAATATTGCGGTGTAATAAATATTTAATATTGGGTGAACTCTGGCCCTCCAGGTGTTTTGGACTTCAACTCCCACAATTCCTAACAGCCTCAGGCCCTTTCCTTTCCCCCCTCAGCCGAAAAGGAAAGGGCCTGAGGCTGTTAGGAATTGTGGGAGTTGAAGTCCAAAACACCTGGAGGGCCATAGTTTGCTCATACCTGTCCAGGATTCACCTGAAGCCCAATTTCCTGAGGCCTCTAAAGAGAAGGTCCCCCTCCTTCCATCTTTCCCTCCCTCCTTCCGGTACGGCCTTCCCTCGAAGAGGTAGCTTACCTGCAGCGAAGTGGAGGGGGCTGGACTTCCTGCCGGCCGTGTCCCTGCCGTTGACGTTCTCGGGCCTCACGAGCCGCTTCACGCGCTCCACGTCGCCGTTGCGGCAGGCCTCGAAGAGCTCGCGGGCAGGCTCCGAGAGGAAGGAGGAGGAGGAGGAGGAGGAAGAAGAGACGCCGCCGAAGCAGGACGCCGAGGAGGGGAGCAGCGACTCCGCCCCGCCCGCGCCCCTCCGCCCAGCCATGCCTTCTCCGCCTCCTCCTCCCGAGGCTCCCACTCACACCCGGAGGCCCGCCATAGAAAGAAGCGGCCTCTGAGGGGGGCGCGAAGAAAAGAAGCCTCCGCCTCAGCGGCCCCGGTGGGAGGGGAAGCGGAACAGCCAGGGTGCGCGCGCACAGGGAAGAAGGGGGAGGAGGGAGAGAGGACTCGCAGGGAACAGGGTTAGGGAGAGCACGGCGCATGCGCGTGCTCTCCCCGGTGGGAGGGAAAGCGGAGCATCCAGGGTGCGCGCGCAAAGGGGAAGGTGAAGCGAGAGAAGGGAGAAGTGCGGGGAAAACACAGTTAAAGCGAGCACAGCGCATGCGCAAGAGACACCTTTCCGGAGTGGGTCAGGTATTTGAGGAAGGAGGTCATAGAATCATAGAATCAAAGAGTTGGAAGAGACCTCATGGGCCATCCAGTCCAACCCCCTGCCAAGAAGCAGGAATATTTATTTATTTATTTATTTACTTTGCTTGTATACCGCAGTTTCTCAGCCTGCAGGCGACTCAACGCGGTTCACAACAAGAGCAAAAGTCAATGAAACAACATACAATATTTAAAACCATTAACAGCACAATATACAAAATAATGACACATCAATATAACACATTAGCATCTCATAACTAAAATCGTGATCCAATTCGTCATCCATAAAATTCCGTTTCCTATATTCATCGTTCGTTGCACTATTTATCTGAACGCCTGTTCAAACAGCCAGGTTTTTAGTTTTCTTCGAAACACCATTAACGAAGGGGCTGATCTAATGTCCCTGGGAAGGGCGTTCCACAGCCGAGGGGCCACCACAGAGAAGGCCCTGTCCCTCGTCCCCGCCAGCCGTGCTTGTGATTGCATTCAAATCACCCCTGACAGATGGCCATCCAGCCTCTGTTTAAAAGCTTCCAAAGAAGGAGCCTCCACCACACTCCGGGGCAGAGAGTTCCACTGCTGAACGGCTCTCACAGTCAGGAAGTTCTTCCTTGTGTTCAGATGGAATCTCCTCTCTTGTAGTTTGAAGCCATTGTTCCGCGTCCTAGTCTCCAAGGAAGCAGAAAACAAGCTTCCTCCCTCCTCCCTGTGGCTTCCTCTCACATATTTATACATGGCTGTCATATCTCCTCTCAGGTCGTGCCATTCATAGAGATAGTCCAATGTAATTGGCATGACAGATGTGTATTGATCAACCCACTAACCCTATTGACAATAGAAGACAAGATATTCCAATTTAATGGATATGTTATGGTCTGGGTTGTTGTAGGTTTTTTCTGGCTATATGGCCATGTTCTAGAAGCATTCTCTCCTGACGTCAATCAGGGACATGTAATCACCTCTCAGCAGGGGATTGCTCCAGGCACTGCCAGGCTATCAAATGCTAATCGGGGTGGTCAGTTGAAACGATATGGTAGATCTCTTTATTGCTGAGTCCACTGACCATATCAACACTAGAAGACAAGATATTCCAATTTAATTGACACGATATGAGAGATCTCTTTATTGATCCGTCCACTGACCATATTGACAATAGAAAAGATATTCCAATTTGATTGACATGATCTATAGATCTGTGTATTGATCACTCCACTGACAATAAGAGACAAAAAATACACAGACAAATAGACGCTAATAACTATCCTAAAACTTCTGTGATAGTTAACTAAAATAAATAAAAATGCAATAAAACTTGATTAAACAATACATTTGGTAAAATGGGATTAAATTAAAACATGAAAGCAGGGAGAGTAGAGAGACAAGTGTAAAGAATCAGAATTTAGATACGTTGATCACCAAGAGAAGGCACCCGATTTTGGGCCCTTCCACACAGCCCTATATCCCAGAATATCAAGGCAGAAAATCCCACATTATCTGAGTGTGATCTCTGATAACCCAGTTCAAAGCAGATATTGTGGTATTTTCTGCCTTGATATTCTGGGATATAGGGCTGTATGGAAGGGCTCTTTGTGCGATAAAGGCCCCTTTCTACACTGCCATATAAATCCAGATTATATTCTTTGAACTGGGTTATGAAATTGATATGGCAGTGTAGACTCTTATAATCCAGTTCAAAGCAAATAATGTGGATTACCTGATTTAATAATCTGAATTATATGGCAGTGTAGAAGGGGCCTAAGGGCTCTTTCACAATCCCAGAATAGCAAATCAGAAAATACCACAATATCGGATTTGAACTAGATTATAAGAGTCCATACTCAGATAATGTAGGATTTTCTGCCTTGATATTCTGGGATATAGGGCTGTGTGGAAGAGCCCTAAGTGTAGGTTCTCCCCAGAAAGAAAATAGGACAGCTTAGTAATTGGATCCCAGTTGGTTGTTCTAACCAAGGGTGATTGTGAACATTGGGATCTCACCTTGGCATATAGACAACATTCAAACAAAATATTGTGAACATACCAAGTCATATTGTGAACATACCAAGTATCTGTAAATGGTAGAGTTTAGAAAAAACAAAATGTGTTTAACTGAGCTAAGCAAAATGTCCAGTCTTGGGTTGGTTGTGTTAGCTGGCTTGTTGCAGAAGCCAGTATACCTCTATATAGTAACTACCTTAGGATGGAGTAGAAGATTGGAGAGCATTTCATTGCCAGATTGATTTAGCTTCCGGTGGGGGCATGTGTATCTCTTCACATATGATTGAGTTGCAACTTTCATCATCCACCACTGGACGTATGAGATAGGGCCACAGTTCTTGAATTATGATTAACTGGATGCAGAGAAGGTTTCAAGTTCAAAGAAATGTATAATGGTTAATCCTCCATTTTTGAAAATGTCAACTTAAATCACGTAGGGATTGTATAAGAAGACTGAGAAATGACATTTTAAAATACCTGAAGAGATATCATGTAGAAGATGGAGCAAGCTTGTTATTTTTCCTATTACAGAGACAATTGACACATCCTTATCACCACTTAATGCAGTCAGAAGGTAACTTGACATCATGGTGTTTAGATGATGCACGACGTCAGCACTTGCAGCAAGGCGCATTTTGGGCTTTAAACTGGGATAAGCAAAGTTGGGGTGGTTTGCAATAGAACACATAATACACATCAGTGTGCCTGAAAGTAAAACACATCACATGGTGAAACCGATTAACGAATGGAGTCTGTGGTGATCCACATATATGCCTTGCAGTGAGTGTATGTGGGAATAAAACCCAGTCCCCCCCCCCCATGGCCAAGAAGCAGCAGATCTGTATAGATAATTCCAGATAGGAAACAATCAGAGCCAGCTAACACCTCCCAACAAAGGATCCCCCAAGGCAGGAGGCAGGAAGCAGGCAGGCTTAGAAGCTGAAAGGATATTTAATACTAAACAAGGTGGCCAATTGCAACATTCATACTTGCCTCAAGCAGACAAGAGTTCTTTCTTCCACCCCAGACATTCCACTTGTCTGGTTTCCAACAGACCTCATAACCTCTGAGGATGCTTGCGATAGATGTGGGCAAAACGTCAGGAGAGAATGCTTCTGGAACATGGCCATACAGCCTGGAAAACTCACAGCAACCCAAGTTGCAGATGCTTGGTTCCTTGAACCAATTGGAGGCCAGCCTCTGCAGTATATATAAACGCCATCCAGGCTTTGAACTGGTCTCAGGACTTCACATGTAATCATCTGCACAGTGAAATACCTTTCTTCTTTGCCAGTTTCGCACCGACCTAAATTGTCAGTGTAGATGTGACCCAGGACATGAACCAGTTGATTCAGGCTGCAAGAAAAGAGGTTCAGCCTAAGGTTAAGGAAGAATATCGTGATGGCAGGAGCTGGGCAGCAGCAGAATACAATGTCCAAGGTGGAATTGGGTACTTTTTCATTGGAATTTTTTAAAGAATGTGGGTGGCCATTGGTCAGGATGGTTTTTTCTTTGTGTCCTTGCTCGGCAAGGATTATTCTGACATTTGGCATCTCTTCCAATGCTATAATTTCTTATTCATAAGTCAAGCAGAGTTGCTGTCCCTCCCACTTTCTCTAAATGACCATGTTTTGTTTTTCACACTACAAAGCGAGAAGAAAAGGTGAACATTTTAGTTTCCTTTTGGATGGTCAAGCAATGGAGAATGTAATTTGTAATTATACAACTAGTGCATTACAAATCCAGCAGCAGTGCCCTGCCAAGAGTAACCTATGATAGACTCCCCAGGTGGTGTTCCACCTACAGCTAGAAATTCTTCCTTTTCTGCAATTTCTAGGTTGCTGATTTGTCCAAACACCCACACATCATTCAGAGGTCTCAGGCAATCAACCCTAGTCATGGAGTTTCTTTTGTCAAATCCATGATTCCCACTGGGCAACAATTTAGATAAAAACATAATGATAAGTCCATTCACACTGATGAGATGGCTAAGCACAATACTAAATGATCATTATGACCACTTATTTTTTTCTTATAGAGTTCTGACAGTTTCCAGAGTGTTTAGCAAACAGCACCACTATTATGTAATACATTGCCATGAAGACAGATTCATGCAGCCTGATTGTATGCCACTAGTCTCACCAAACTTTCATTTTTCTGGGCTAATATGCATGCATAGTTATATCCTATACAGTTGAATATGGAAGATATGGAAGTAAGCACATGTATAGTTCATGAAAAACGATGAACCCCTCTTAAAGAAATGGGTGTTCCACAACATTTGATTGTACCATATTGTATAGAACAGGGCCTGGAGACAGCTGAATTCCAGGAAAGAACACCAATACAATTAGAAACAAGATATCATAATATAAACAAGAACTGACTGATAATTAATTCAAATCATGTGCCCCATAGAGAACAATGCCTGATACAATCAGCTGGTTAATTTAATCTGATGGAAAGCTGTCGGAGTTAAGATCTAACTCTGAGGTTACATCACCTTTGTGGAGTAGACTGACTGCGTCTATAAATGAATTATACTGAGCATGTGTTATCTCATTAAACCTCTGAAATGATATAAAACAAACCCAAAGGAGCTAGAAGTCACAGTTTACTGGGCTTATTTAGCCTGCTAAACAGTGGGACTACTGCAACACACTCTACATGGGGTTGCCTCTGAAGACTGCCCGGTAGTAACACTTGGCAATTAGTCCAGCGCTTGGCAGTCAGGCTGCTCACAGGAGTGAGGTCCAGGGAGTGCACAACTCCTTTGTTACACCAGTTCCACTGGCTGCCAATCAGCTTCCGAGCACAATTCAAAGTGC